AAAAATTCCGAAGATCCCATGCATCACGCTCGCCAGTTGCTTCCACTGAACTCACTCCGTCCATTTTTCTCCCGAGACTTGGCGAAATGAGAATCGAAGAATCTACAGTCACCGTAATCCGGCGTTCGGTTCGAGCTTGTTTAAGCGATTGACGCAATCCACAGCGGACGTTCTGATACCGTTATAAGTCGGCTTTTGGACGTTCCTTCACAGAAAAAAAATCCAATCACCGAAATGTGCTCCTCAAGCACAGGAGCTCTCTCGGAACGAATACCTAGGCGGACACGCTCTCGAAATTCGCCCAAAAAGAGTCTGTGACGAGCCTCTACCCCATGAGAGCTCCTTCCGGGTAGAGCTCCAGATTTGAGTTCTGGTTGGCGACCTCTGCTTTCCCGATTGACTGGCCGCTTCCCCGACTGAGAGGAAATCATCGGAGCTTCCCTGTGACATTCCTTATCGCCAGGAATTCCGCTTTTGATCAGTGAATACGGGGCAATCGATTCCGATTGGGCGACAGAAAATTTGCTTCTCATTAGATTACTTTCGTCTGGAACACCACTGCCAGATATATACAGAGTATTCAGTGGAGGAGAACATCAAGAGAAAAACCGATGAATGACCCGATCTCTGCTTGCCGCGTCAAGCCAGAAAATTCCGTGTCTTCCCCATAATTGTCAGAAATGTCTCGAAGGTACGGTACCCGAAACGACGGATGACTCATCATTGGGGTACGTTCAGGACAGAGCCTACTCTTCGAGGTACATGCGAAATATCGGCTCAGAGTCACCATCAGGGCTGCTATCGCCCACGTCATGACGTCGCTGGGGAAAAGTCATTGAACAAGATGATAAGATTTTCCTGATCTATCGATGCATGCCATTTGACCAAAGGAAGCACCTCAAGACGGAATGGGCACTCCATGGGTCTCATCAGCAGTCGTAGAGGCCCTATCGACTCTGGCTAAATGACGGAGCTCATGCGTCAATGCAACGACTGTCAATTCCGAGCATTGAAACCACTCGTGCGAAGTCTCGGAATGTATTGGCGAAGACAAAAGCATTCCTCCCGCACTGCCATGAGTACTGAGAGCGCTGCAGAATCTTGTTGAGACCTCTGATTTTGTTTCAATGCAAGTGGTCAGCGTTCTGGCCGTCAGAAGAAAATTTCCCGAGTGCTGAAGTAGGTATTATGTCGACACAGCGGTCTTCCTCCGATAGGAACAGATGAGCTTCGTTCCGTTTGCCTTGCTGATTGACGCACATTGAGAAGCGACTCTGAATGCTGCTTGCTAGATCGCAATGATCGTCCTCGTCCTCCTCGTAGAATGCAAACCTATATATCTTGGCTGGCGTCCATTGGCAGCTGTTCAGGGTTTTTAGTTCCGAGAATGAAATCCGCGCACTGGAAATGATTCAGTGAGAATTCCGATTCGATAGAGGATGGGAAAATCTCCTCGTTCCCAGCCTGCGAGCTTCTACCGACGAACACTCGCTCCTCCATGCTAACGAGCAAATAGGTTAACGACACACACTCGACTATCTCGGGCCGGCGATGATATTGTCTGCGCGAGAGACATCGCAAGCACCGACCGGTCGGCGTGTATCGCTGCTTTATACACTCGTGTCTGTCATATTCCATCAGCGAAATGAAAGCTACGAGAAGACGACGACGACGACTCGAGAACTAAGTCGAGAGAACCAGCGTTGCCAGCAGCGGCCAGAAATTATCCAGACAGGTCGACTACTCTTCTCGTTGCCACGAGCTCGGACGCAAATCCACCATCGTGATAATCACACGACTATTACCATCGACCGGAACTCTCATCCGTGATGATAATTGCAATCGATGCCAAAATCTTGGACCCGGTCCAGTGTTTCGGACTGGTGGTCGGGATTCCGACGCACTCCGTCAGTCGAGAACCGGAATCGGAGAACTCATAAAGACAGGGAACATGATTTCGGATTGCCAACGAGGCAAGCGGATTTGGTGAAATACGCAGTTCAGAAACCTGGTTCGGTGGTTCAAGTGAAAGGATTGTCCATAGCGAGAGAATTTTCTGGCAGCGCTCAAGCTGAGAGAGACCTCATGAGATTGTTTGACGTGAATTAGAACGTGCTGCTCTTTTCTTCCTTGCCGACATCCAGAGTCAGATTGGAAAAATCAGCGAGAATTGATCCAATCGGACTCGTGTGTCATGCTGTTCGCCGTTACCGCTCCACTGCTGCGGACGAAAGACACCGACTCCACATAGAGCGGTAGACGCGCAGTGCTCTTGCTCCTGAACGGATCTGAGAACATGAATGCGCCGTCTCAGAATAAATAATGAGCCCCACGATTCTCCGTCGCGGGCGCTGGATAATGCATGAAAAATGATGCCAAGAAAAACCTTCCAGCAGTTGAAGCAAATTTTCTTCCAGGAATCCCTGCTCATTGGATGCGAGCTCTGACGTCAAAGGCATACCTCGCTGGCCGACTGCTGATGTCAAAGGCCGGCCGCGAAGCCGTTCGCTCGGCGCCACCGCCGCTATGCTCGTCTCCGGGCTGTCAAGCGCGCGGCTTCACGAGACATGTAACTGTTCGAAACCCTTCTGCGGCCTGGAGGCACTCGCGAAGAGTTACCCACTCAGAGGCGTTTTCCGTTACCGGTCGTTGCGGCCGGTAAGCCACGACCCGATAAGCGAGTGTCCGAGCGACTGACTGACCGAGCGAGCGAGCCAGCAGAGTACCGACGTCTTCGAGCGAATGAACCCGTTCCCGCCTCGCGCCGGCTCATATTCATCGCCGGATTCATTACGATTATTTCTGTTGGAATCCCTCGTATCAATTGGAATGGAACGAATGAGCCTCTCTCCAAACTTGTCGAATGGAATCGACAGTTCCGAGAATAGACCTCAAGACGGAAAGCTCATCTCAAGCTACGGCACAAGCCTTAGGGAAGCAACTCGAAAACATTTTAGAAAGGAAAACAACACTGTAGCGAGATTGCGCTGGGCCGTCGGCGAGATTCGAGCCAGACGTCGCGGCTCTATCAGAGGCGCGCTAGTGTGAGCCGCGATCATTCTAGAAGAAAAAAACGTTCCCCTCATGAACCGCGCTCTACCACTGACCACGAGCACACTCCGAGCGAATGGACCTCCGGAGCTTGACAATAGAGTGCTCGTTGTTTTGACACTCACAAACAGGAAAGTCGTTTGGAGACTTCCTATAGGGATATTTCGAAACCTAGATTGAGCCCGCATCCAACGACCGTATCTTTGCGCAACAATAACTAGTGCTATCCGGAAATACTTTCGTTTCCTCGGAATATATGTTCTCGAATCTCCCCAATCAGCAGAGACCGATATTCCTGGTTCATCCTCGGCTAGATAAGGTCGAGATAGCGCACCGGTAGAGCCCTCGAGGGAAGGAGTCTAGTTCCATTGCATCATTTCGAGTGTTGCTCTATCTCTTCAGACGCTCTCTTCGAATCGCTCCCTTCTGCTAGCGCGGTGACCGAAGAAGACCCTATCAAAGGTCATCCATCCGTTATCTTATTCCAAATTAACACCTTAAGGTGCTGATGGGGAAAACTTATTTAGCATCAGGTTCCAGTGAGCTCCGCAAACGGCGCGAGATGCTGAGGCCTTTCGAGGGGCCAGCATGACGTCGAGCGTCAGCCAGATTCGACCAGTCGGACGGCGAACATACATGTCTCTCAAACTTTCGGCGAGAGACGGAAATGTTCGAGACCTGTTTCGATTCTAGTGTTCGTTCTATTTCGAGGTTGTTGTATCATATTGTCAGAACAACAGCTAGATCCAAATAGAATCATCGAAGAGATTAGCTCGAAGCCGCCGCTTCTCATCCGTGCGGTATTCGTCCCGATAAGCTCTCAACGATCGAGCGGATCTCCTATGAATAATAATTTATGCCTAAGGATATTCCAGCATTGTAGCCATTAGACGGAAAAATGGGGAAAAATACTCACAGTCAAGCGGGTTTATTCGGTTTTCGCATACTATGATGCTTGTCCTAATTCCTTTTGACTGGCAAAAGCTTCTGTGCAGCGGTCGACGAACCGCGGAAGAAGAGTGAATTTGTCGAAACGATTCGGATGAAGATCCGTCAGGCTGCAGTAATTTCACAGTTTCCTCGGGAACAGTGAACGAATCAGTGAAAAAATTCCGAGAGCTCGCTACTGTTCAGTGGTCCAGATTTAATCAACAAGTTTTTGCTTGCCGAGAAAGTCGTCCAGCTGACTCGGCAATGTGTCCCTCCTCTCCTCCTCAGGGTAGTTTTCGAATGTGACGACACTCTCGAAGAACTCGACAACACCACTTGTTTCTATGTTGGGCTTGACAGTAACTCGGAGTTCAGCTTACAGGTGGGCACGGTTCACTGAATTCAATAACTGTACAACTGTATTGCAGGCGTGAGTTGATTCCGCCGCGAAGACGCAGTCAATGTGATCAGCCCCCTCTCTGCGTCCAAAACAACAAATGTGGCACCAGCGACTGCGGCGCCCTCTCAAGTGTACCACAGGGAATTCGCCTGGAGAACCACAGTTTTGCACAAGTGCTACAGCGGCAAAGCAATAGTCGCTTTGCGAGAGGCTCATTGACGTGATCAGGGACGATTTATTGGACGCGATGCGAGATCAGACGAATCATTCGTGGAAATCGTATGCCTCATTCGACGGGATCTCCATCAAAGACTATATTCGCGGACGCGGAATAGAACCTTCTGGTTGGCGCATCTCTTTCAGAGCTCGAAACCCCTTCGAGCTCAGAGTTCGAGGTTCCAATCGTAGCATATAATGTTCCAGATCACTGTCCGGTTATTCAGCCCAGTGCAACTCTCAGGCGGTCGCAGACAGGAAATATTTCCCTTGGACCGGACCGTTGCTTTTCGACGTAAATAGAACCGGAGCAAAGATCACTGGTTGCGGAGCGCTCCTTATCTGGAGCGTCGAGTCTGACGACAATGGCTAAGGACGGAAAAGAGGAACTCGATTGAAGAGGAAAAGCTAAAAAGATGACCAAGTCACTCACTGAACTTTATTTCGTTTTTTAAAAATGTGAGCTCTCGTCATCTACTCCATGCAAGTTTAATAAGGACATCGAAGAGACGTGCTTCGTGAGTCATGCGCGGGCTGAGATGAGAACCTTACGATCCGTCAGATCGTTAGTGTTCTCCCGAATGAATGATATGAATTCACAGATGACGGACATGCTTCACGTGCTCCTGGAGGGTGCCTCGCGAAATTTACAGTATTTTTCCTCGGCTCTCGTCTGGAAGTATCACAACTTTTCGAACACTAATCGATATCCACAAGAGGTGCATTCTTTGAAGTACTCGTCCTCGTTGTCGTCACTTTTCTTCTCATCTCCGTAGGTGTGCTCGTGATTAGCGGGAAGCTGATAGGCTTGCGCCCGGAGCTCTCGACGTAACTCTGAAAGCATCGTTTTCATTATCCCGTGCAGCAACGAACCTCTGGAATTCTATCGACGCCGTTGTCCGAAATTCCATTTCCGCAGAGGAAAATTCCTCCCCGCGGAGTCAACAAGCTTGGTCATGGACTGAGCTAGATGGAGTCATGCTGCACTGCAAGCAACAAACAGACAGAGAGACAAACAAACGAGCGAGCTTCCAGAGGCATTTCCAGACATATTGCCGTCACCCGGTCAATGTCCGAGAGCTACACGTCGAGATTTGGCAGACCGTTCCGATATACGGCCCGCGGCTTTCGAGATTCCGAGTGTTTTCACCGACTGACTTTGATCAGCGAGTTCGCAATGCGTGAGAGCAAAAACGCAGAGCAAGCTTCCAGGACGGAAAATCGTTCCGCGACTCACCGGATATTTTATTTGTGAAAGCCGCCTTTTTCCTTTTCTTCGCATCCGTCTTCCTTTTGTTCTTTTCCTTCTCCAATGCATCAAGGCTTCCCCAGACTTCTTTCGCGCGTTCTTCCAGCTGGCAGAACAGGTATAATTTCATTGCAGCTCCGTGTTCCCTGGAAAAACCGGATCTCTCATCTTGATTACTGATTGGATCGCGTCGCGGGCTCGGAGTTCTCCGCCGCAGAAGTACCCTGTGACGTCTCGAGTCGAGGTGATCGTATCACTCACCTATGTGGATTCGGTTTTTCTAAGCACTTCAAAGGTGGCGGTCGCATGTCCAGGTCGCAGTCCTTAAGCTTGAATAATGTCTTTGCTTCAGTTCGCGGCACCAAGCGATATTTATCCAGAGATTTCCTGGAATGACCCAAATTTTGTCGGAAATCCTCGGATTCCCAATATCCCACATGGTTGCCCAGATCGAACGATGCTCCAGAACCGGAAAAAAATTCCATGGAAGGTTCTGAGAGCGATAATAATCATTCCCGATGCGATCGATGGAATCGGCAATTTTCATGAGTTTATTAGATGTCATTTCCAGAAAGTCAGCGGGATGCGGATGCAATCTTCGAATCAGAGACTGTCCTGATAATTATTAGCCTTCGTTCATCTTCTCCGGATTACCTGCATTCATCACATAGATCAAGGGAGAACTTCTGTCGTCCCACGGATTCCAGGAATGGCCTCTCACATTCGACGCATTCCACTTCGTGTTCCGGGGGCTGGTATAACTTCTTCACAGGTGCAGGCGCATCAGGCTCGAAGAAACCTTCCCCGGCTCGAGACCCAGCCGGTTTATTTTCCACGAAAACAGTGTTTCTGGAAGAATTGAGAGTTCATCTGCGTGATAATTTATAGCTGCTAATCCCTCGCACCGGAAGCGCATGCAGGCGAGCCGATCTAGCAGGAGGCAGTGAGAATCTGAAATCCAGATGATATGCACGCGATCTGAGCTGGTCGGATGAAGAGAGTAAGCTTCGCCGACAGGGCCGTGCCGAGTTGCCTCCGACATAAATTTCGCATCGAGCCTCCGAATACCAGGTACGGAGTTCATTCTTCCAGCTCCCAGATCAAGCATTCCGTCACATACTTTTGCAGCGGAAGCCTGTTTGAATTGTCGCGTTCCGCGGACGGACGCGCGATTTCCCCGAGAGAGGGAAACTGGAGCCTTCCTTTTCTCCGCACTTGTTCGCGGAGGATCGGAAAAGTCGCGCGGTCCGTCCCAATGACGTCTTCTCCGGGAACGATGTAGATATGCGAACTTCGAATGTCTCAGAGAATCTCGGAATCTGATCCGACGATCTGAACTTTCCGGTCTATTCTCACCTGATGAGGTTTGCAGTTTGAGCGGCTTTTCTTTTTGCGAGTGCTTTCTGCCGGCTTTCTTCCATGCGCTGCTTCTGCTCGTCGCTGAGGTCCTCCATATTCACAGCTGGCGACGGCTTCGCAACACGACAGATTCGAGGAAAACAGGCGCGATTAATTATTTCAGAGTCACTGTTCCTCGCTTCCTACAACTGAAGCTCATGAAGACGAAACAGAAAAAAACATCATATTCGAAGGGTTTGTTTACAAATTCGGATCTTCGCGCCTATGGTGGCTCTCCGTCCGCTCTCTTCTCTCCCAACTCATCCCTTCGATTCGTCTCTCCTCTGCGCGGTTGTTGATGCTGGAGGAAGTCGATTCCAGAATCACGAGTTGATTCACTCGGTAACTCGCATTCGATTCCGTTCGTATAGCGGACTCCAACGGCCTGATGCTCCGAGTCATGATGGGTATTAGCCGACAGCGAAATTCGAAGGCGAATAATGCTGCCGTAGGATAGTTTCGGGCGGGTCCAGCGAGCACTGCTACAGCCGCTACGGTTGCCGCTCGCAGCTGATTTGCGAGCAGCGATTGAGGATATCTTTCATGGAATCGTGGGGTGCCTCTGGCAAAACCCTCGAAATTACCGACGATTTCAGACCTTTTCAAGCGCCGTGATACTACAATCTTAGTCACTTATTTTGCTCACTCGCTTATTTTGCCGGAGTGAGGGGCTCCGATCCCCTCAAGCGTACTCGCACTCCCTCGAACTATGCCCCACGACTCCTTCACGATCCCGGTATCCGTATTTCTGTCCGCGTGACGCTAGATCGATCCGACGGGTAGTCGACCGAGTCTCAATGGTGGGTGTTCACGAGAATCGTTACGAGTCCTACGATGGTTCAGTCGGTGATGAAACTTACGGCGGAGGCCCCGGCCGACTCGATCATAAATCATAAGTATGACATTCCGCGCAACTCGCAGATTGATCGCTGCGAAAAAAGCTACAGAACTCCTTGACCGATTGGGACTGGAAACCGCGTGACTTATTGGCATTGGCGACAGCAGTTTAGGTAGAAAAACTCGGGTTTCAACAGGTTTCTGTGGCTCGGCTCGGGCATTTGAATTTCCGCGCCAGTCGTCGTCGTGCGTCGGCCGTCTTCCGCCGCTGACGATTCCTCTTCCATCTTCTTCACCTGATCCATTGTGTGTTTAGGTTTCGCTCACGGGGACGAATATTCCGCCGATATCCCAGGCCCCTGAGTCTTCTCGATCCCCGAGAGATATTCGTTATCCTGGGGGGATTACCCAGACTGTATTGCGCGGGGTTTCCGGTGAGTTTCCTGGGAAACGTTCAAAATCCTACATTACTTCTGTCAGTGAGGAGAGACCCCCTTTTCTTTATGTCTCCAATGATCCTCGAAATTATGTACTTCACCTATCACTCTCTTTGGGGTTTCGATCTCTGGAGAGGAGGTCTTATATCTGGTCGCAGAGCGGCTCCAACCGTTCCCTCTTGCGGTGTGAATGAGACTTCGTGAGATTAACCAGCTGATATACAAAACAGGGAGGTGATGTCGGATACAGATGAGCAGGCTTCCAGATCAAGTCTCAGAGCTCATTTCCTACGGAGCATATCGTCTCTCACTGGAATTCCAGTGCAGATTTGTATGCACGAGAACACCAACGTCGATGCGATATTCCGTGCAGCCGACATCGATCTCGAGCATATAGGCGTTTCTGATCTGCAAACTCCGATCGGGAGACAGGCGCAAGCGATTATTCGCACCAGTGATATAATTGCCGTCACCTTCGAGAGTAATACTGGACAAAAAACAGAAACCCACTGAAATGGCCCTGGTTCTAGCCAAACAGGGGACATCTTCCCAGGTGAGTAATAACGAGAAAGGAAAATATCTCCTCGAACGCAATCCCAGTGAATTGCGAACTCGAAATCAATCGCCCCGGGGAGACTCGCTTCCAGAGCGATATCGAGTTCAACATTGATTCTGAAATTCCCGATCCCCACCCAGAGTATCGATCCTCTCGAGCGGTTATTCTCTCGGAATGAGCTCCCGCTCGTCTTCCTGGACTACCAAGAGGATTGGTCGGCGAGAGTCGTCTCTGCTATAAAGGATTCATCCTCAAAGATCAAGAAAGAAGCGGTAAGCGTCTTCGACAATCCGTTTATTTAAGCGAGATATCCGCATGGTTGGCAGTGACGATAATATCTCCCGAGAGAGGAAAAAGTCGACCGGCCCTTGCTCCAGACTCACTCCCGAGCTCTGATTCTCTTCCAGAAAATCGAGTGCAATTATTGCGGACTGAAACTCCTGACCGAAGTCGGGCTCGAAGAGCACTACCAACGACGATCGATAAAAGTTCGTCTCCCCTGTCTGAAGTGCTGCCTAGTACACATATGCTACAACCCCTGTCAAGTGCTGAATGTCCTGAAACTCTGTCAGACCGTCGTGCCCTGGGGTCTGGCGGTGGAAGAGGTCGAGCCCCAGATCGCGGGTCTCCCGATCAAACTCAGAGAACCGGACCCGGAGGCTCCAACGAGCGGGAAGTTCACCGCGGAGGAACTGATCCATGCGACGCGTACCTGTCACGAATGCAAAGTGCTATGCGCCGAAGACACTCTCGAACGTCATATGACTTTCTCGACCGGTCTGAAACTCACGTGTCATTCGTGCGGCCAGCGCATGCCGACTCGATGCTCTCAGCAGGCGCACACACGACTCCATAGGCTCAAACCTCCGTTCGTCTGTCCGGAATGTGGGAAAATGGCTCCGCGCGAAACGAAGATCGAGGAATTCAAGCACCACGTCAACGAGCTGTGTCACCATAGGGAACGCTTGATGGTGTACCAGTGTCCCAATTGTCCTGCCGTGCAGGAGCGGGACCGAGATCTGGCGTCGCACATAGCCGATTCGCACGTGCAGGTCCTTCACAAGTGCTCTCACTGCTCGCTGGCGTTCAAGGACACCGCGGCTTTCATCAGTCACAGCGGCAAGAACCATTCGTTCCCAGGAGCAAGTCCGGTGTCTGTGATCAAGTGTCCGATGTGTGAAGCTTGCGTATTCGCAGACACCCAGATGCTAATCCAGCATTTCCTATCAATCCACATTTCGTCGTGTTCCAAATTCGTTTTTCGTTGTCATATATGTCGCCAGCTGCGAACAGATCAGTTAGCCATTCACGAGCACCACAAAGCCGAACACTCGTGGAAACCCACTTTCCCGGATGTCATGATCACAGTTGTCGCGAAAACAGTCCTGGCCATGGGTGCCGATGGGCTGAGACACAATGAAGGCAAGGCCGCCGTCCAGGAGATGGAGAAAAAAGAATTCAGCCTCGGACAAGGAACGCTCCTGCACTGTTTGAAGTGCGCGTTCGAGTCGATGAATCGCGTCCAGTTTCTCCAGCACGTTCGATCGCATAGAGAGAGCGAGACACCGCATCAATGTTCGGACTGCGGTATTTACCTCGACGACGATAAATCGCTCGAGAAACACCTCGTCGACGTGCATCAGTTGGAAGATGTCGCCGAACACTTGAAGAAAATCTCTGATCTCTCCAAGCTGATAGCAATGCAAGTGGACGAACAGGCAGAGGATCCGAAAGCGGTTGCGCTCCCACCGGAACCTCAAATGCCGGTCGAAGGGGCAGCAACAGACCACAACGACAAAATTCTCAAGTGCGCCGTGTGTTGCAAAGAGTTCATCGAGAAGAGGGCGCTCGAACTCCACATGAGGACGCACGGCAGCGAGTTCCTGAAGAGTTTCAATAAACAGCGGAGAACCTGACCTAGGAAGAAGTAGTTTAGCCCGTCGTAGCGTTTTCTGGCCACTAGACTCACCTCGTCCAATCAGTTTCGCTTCACCTGTGTAGAGAGATCGGGGGAAACCACGGAATGTTCATGTTCACCTCATTCATGCAGTGTAGCGCAACGTCCCACCTCCCTGAACGCGTGTTCATGTCTTGGATTTTGAATTTACATATACGATTTAAATAAACAATCAATGAATCATGACTCACGGAACACAATGCTGTCCTTGCGCAACATATTCCTTCGATTTATTTCCTACGAAATTGTGCATCAATCATGAATCACGCGAAACAGTCCGTTAGTACGCATCGTCTCGTCTCCGAGTCGGAGTAGAACAACATCGCTCGCGTTCCTTGCGGTCTGCACGACTCCTGGCGGGGAACTTCGTTTCTCGATCCGAATGCGGACAGGCTCTGCCGCCGAAACGCATTTGTCCGCTCTCTTTACGGCCTCCGAAACCACCTCCTAATCGGCGCGGCTTCCAGCCCGGTAAGAGTCTCCCTACTTCGCGTTCGACCAAGATGCGTTTTCCGCCGATCTCGGAGCCATGAAGGGCGATAGCTCTATTAACATCGGCGCTGTGCTTGAACGTGAGAAAGGCGTACCCCTGTGACGCTCGCGAAATCTTGTGCCGCACCAAATGAAGATTCCTCAGTGTGCCGCATCCGGAGAATACCTTTCGATAAGAAATTCGATTTAATTGGCTCGGAGGCGCTCGCGGAGTACTATGGCCCGTTCCCCGTGAGGGAAAATATCTTTTTTTCCCTCGATCCCCAAGGCCTCGCGAGTACCAGAAGCAGTGAGGAGCGGTCGGCTCCATTTTTCGCAGTCGAGACCTACCTCTCTCAGGCGATCTTCTGTCAGATCCAGGGGCAGACGGCCAACGAAAACGGTCTTACTCGGATCGGTGTCGAGCTTCGGCGGTTTGAATTTCGCCTAATTGAGGAAAAGGCTCCAGAATTATCTTCTCAACAACAAAATCGCCTTACTGCGGGACCATGTTATGCTTTCGAATGTCGATTTAGTAGAGAAACGCATCCTCGACCCACCGTCTCCGCTCTGAGCAACGCTCGGTCATGAATGAAGCTCCCGGATCCGTCGCGGGTACCAGCGACTACTGGGTCGTAAATTTTCATGGAGGTGGCTCGAAACCCTTAGTACTGGAACCGCGAAAAAATCCTTCCAGAACCTAAAATCATTGCTCTCCCAGCAAAAATGCCACATCTGAACGTTACGACAGATCCGGCTTCGCGGTTCGCCGTTTGCTTGGGTACTCTGGCCGGACCCCGTTAGACAACGGAGACTGAACCTTATCCGACGGAAGGGCAGCCGGTTGCTGGCTTTGCAGATGCGTTGACACTTGCCGCGAGCAAAACTGCAACCATGGGTCTAGCAGAGTTTTTCGGATGCAGTTTGGTGGCTTTCGGCCCTTCGCTGTCCATGTTCTGTGTCACGATAGCAGCCTGTCCAATCAGAGTTATAATTTTCATTACAGCGTGAGTACTATCGTGTTATGAATCACAAAACTGCCGAATCGAAACTTGCAATATTGACCGGAAAACATCTATTCGGTCTCGATGACGCCCCCGGATCTGGTGAGATCACTCCCAGGAATCTCCCGCATCGTGGTCAACCCGCTCGAATCCCCTAGCTATCGTGTCGCGAGCTACGGCAGCTGTTTTCGAACAGCTCTCGAACGCAACTTTGACATGAAGACACTGCATTGAAATGCTCATTATTCTCTTTCCAGAGCGTTCTTCTGGCTGGTGTCGCTCCTCTTTTCCTCGATAGTGTGGTGCTCGGTGTTGGAGATTTTCCGGATTCGAACATCGGAAGAGAAATCCAATTTCGTCGTTTTCGGACTCCTTGTAGCTGTCGCTTTCCAAGAACTGTTCCGGTACCTATTCTACGGGATCCTCCGTAGGGCCGACAATGGACTCAAGAAAATGGTTGAAGTGGGATCAACCGGGAGCGTGGTCTCCGACAGCCGGCAGCTCCTGGCCTACGGTACGATTACCAATGATTCCGGGAGTGTCGACATAACTCGTCGCTCCAGTCACTGTATGAGAGGGAAATTGAGAGGATCCAAATGATGTACGTAAGGTTAAAATTGCAATCTTCTCCCTCAGTCGCAGGATTAGGATTCGGAACGATGTCTGGCGGATTCTCACTCCTGAACGTTCTGGCGGAAATCGGCGGACCAGCCTCTGTGGGTTATGGCGGGCAAAGCGAATGGTTCGTGTTGGTTTCCTCGGTCACGACGTCACTGTTCGTAATACTTAACACGTGCTGGGGGGTCATCCTTTTCCATGGATACGATACGCGTGATCATCGACTCATCATCGGCGCCATCGCATCTCACTTTGTTTGTTCATTGATGGTGAGTTCGGGGTTCGACCCCGGGGGTGAGAACTCTACCAGAGCGATCCGAGACATCATCGTCACGAGGCGCATATGGATGCGGAATCTATCTGTCTGAACCAGCGCTATATCTATGAATTCCAGACGCTCTTCAACAAGAACGAGACGTACGTCGCGTCGCTTCTGCCCATATCCGTCATGACCGTCGTCTGCGCTGGGCTAGCGTTCCATCTCGCCGGCGGAAAATACAGAAAGTTACACTTGATGTTCAAGAGCCGCACTTCATCAGTTTCGAGTAGCCAATGAATTCCAGGGTACTGCGAGGTTCGCTTCCGTCTTTACAATCACCCAACCAAAAATTTGAAGCAAACCCAGCTGTCAAAGTTTTGGTCCGATGTCCAATGAGCCTGACAATGTAAATATTCTCACAGCGAAATCGTCGGAGCGGGTTCCGCCGATGCTGAATTTGTAAATTCATGCACGAGTTGAATAAATATTCAGTGATGTCTCAGATATGAGCTCCGCAAGAAACGACACAGCTACTATACGCTCATTTTAAAGAGGAATCGGCCTCGCCAATCACTAAAAACTTCCCTCTTGCTCGAGAGACACCTTCTCATGAGACTCCCAATATCTCCGCGAACAACGACCCGGAGCGGAATCATCTGTCAATATATTAATCTCTTTATTCAGGTACGGGAGGGAAATGGAGAAGTGGAGCAATAAATAGAAATGGTGTTTTGTGACTGGAAGAGAAGATGATCATCTGAAAACGCTGCCTAAGGTTCGAATCGCCTCAAACTGTCGCGAAGCTAAACTGCCTCGTTGCAGGTCTGGTATAACGTGAAACAGTCGTCTCCTGAACGGCCGTTCCTGGTGGCGTTGTAGCTGAAGTCGAATTTCAGGTTCTTTTGCTTCTCCAGGGCGTAGCTAGCAGCATACCTGCAGAGAGATCGACACTTTGAGATTCGATTCAGATAGAATCGGGAATCTGTCTTGCTGCCCGAATTATAGACTCACCCGCCGAACTGTGCCACGAGATAACCGAGTTCGTGACCCTCCTTGACGGCATCTTTGGAGGCTTCGCACAGATATCTCTGCATGCAGTTCTCGTCCTTGGCCATCGCCGATCTCAGGAGGCCTTTCATCATTGAGGCTCCGGCGATCGTGATGTCGTCGAAAGCTCCGTTCAAGCCACGACCCTGTTGAGCTGCACGCGCACGAGCGCCAAAGGTCGTCTTGACCATGTCAAGCACGGTGACGAGGAGGTTTATGATCTGACGCGATGTTGCGGCGCTTTCCTCGTCGGAACCGAAAACCAACTTAATAGCCGTTTTGATGAGGTTTCGAGGGCTCATGAATTTGCCGACCTCCTGAAAAGGTCAACAAGTGAGATCGGCGAGAAGCGTCGCTGAGAATGGGCCTTTCCGAGGTTACCAGGTCCCGTTCCCTGGGAGAGCGCCGGCGCCGCGGCGAGTCCCTCGTGGACTCGGATTCCTCACCTGCTGCGTTTTCAACTCGACAGCCTCGGCGCTGACGGCGTTCTTCGACATCGAACTGTGGAACTTATGTCTTCGTTCTTCGATCCGGGGTGATCGGACCACTTTGACGGATTTCGCTTCCCTCGACTCCGCTTCCTCGGCGGCCGTCGAAACGGCAATCACTGTGAGCACAACGAGTATTCCAACGAACGTCTTCATTTCTGCAAGCAAGATGGAGGCCTATTCAGAGCCGTGGCCGAAACTCCTTGGTGTGACTGAGGTTCTCTGTGACACGCTTCGGAAGGAATTGATATATATTTTTCAAATCCTCTATTTAAACTTGAGAGAGGGTGGCTGCTCATAAGGATGCACTGGAGCATCGCATGCTGCCCGAGAGAACATATGGAAAGCATGAGAGTTGCTTTGAAATAGCGAAAAAAAGATCCCGGATCTTCTTGGCTCAGATGGTCAGCACGAACACTCAGCTGAAAAAGAAAGTGCTATAGCCACCGACGATGTCTGCAACATCGTCGAGTTACAAATCTCGGCTTTAGAAATCCTAATTCCGACATAACGGAAATCGACAGCTAGCTTCATAACAAGCTGATGAACAGAATTGGCGAGAATTCAAGGAGTGGCCATAAATCTTCGCCACTGCGACCGCTGTCGCTGATCGTTTGGTCAAGTTTGGGAGCGATAGATGCGCCGACCAGATCGACCAGAATATTCCCGGAGCGTCGCCGACCCTTGTATCGCTGTTTCTGATTATTCTCCGGAACATTGGGTGATCAGTCGTGATTACGGTCGCTCGCGGATGCTCGGAAGGGCGAAAATCTAGGGCGGCATGCCGAAATGCAAAAACTGAACGAATCAGTTCACGGATCGGTGACAATTCCCGTCCGCATTCCTCGAACGTGGAGCAAACGTTCCGGAGACCCGTTAAGGAATTCACAATTCCCATTAAGGGGTGAAGAGTTCAATAACCGTATCGCTCGAAACCTCCGACGGGATTACGAGTTTGGCTTGTCCTCGATCGCGGGGTCATGCGACGCAGACCCTTTCAGAGCCATCACGTAATTGGGAATCATTGTAAGCAACGATCTGGAGTGGAGAGAATTCGGGACTCCTGGGCTCCAATCCAGGGGGAACACTTCTTCACAAGGATCCCATCGCCTCACGGGAGATGGCTCGAGAGTCCTTCCTCAAGGGTTTCCGCAGAGAATCACCTTCGCGCGTCCAGACGGATATCTCAATACGTTGGGAACGAAATCCTAAGTAAAAGTGTTCGGCACGTCTCCGATGTGGGCAGGTCAAATCGTGAAGGGTTATTCCGGCTCGTCTCCGCTCTTTCTACTGGAAGAAAATTAGTCTGTACGGACGGGCTTGACTTACCTGCTGCAAGTCTTCTGTAGAACTGTCCAGCTGATGTTCGCTGCCGACTGACGGCGGAGACTTCTGGCTCCGGTGGTGACCCGGGCTGGGCGATGGCAGAAGACGTTAGAGGCAAGAGAAGAACTGGGACACCACACCGGTCCACAGAATTGGCTCTACTTCGAACTGACGCACGGCAAGCATCCCGTCAAAGCCGCAGGCGACGCAAGGTTCGAAATAAAAGCGGCTGAGTTTTCAGAGCTTCCTGACCGTGAACGTCATCATCCGTTCCCGGTCGGCTTCCGGAGCGCATTTCGGACGCAAAAGACCTCGTGGAGCCCCCCTCACCAGCTTCGATTCTTTCAATCCCCGACTGGATCTTGTAAAGTTTTCAATATGCCTCCAAAATCAGTCTCGAATTTCAATGCAGAGCTTCGCAGAGTCTGCTGCCCGAAACGAGTGAACAGGAAATGGAACGAGCCACAGACGAGCGGTGGCGACAACGGTAGTCGCGCACGAACAACGAAAGTGAAAGCGGAAACTGGGACTGTCAGGCGGGAAGACTGACTCCGTCGAAAACATTGCAGAGCGTCGGATCTGCGGATTGAGCCTCGGGCCGACTCCTTGGTCTCGATGTGTGCATCATACTGGTTCCATATCTAACTGGGTTAAATACAGCCGCTTCCACCGAACGGAATATCAGTTTGCGACGCGTAGCTCAAACTCATGTCGGATGGATCGTCGTACGCTCGTCATTGATTATTCATGAATGTATATCACCTACTTTCCTTGAAATCAATGCGCTGAAAACCGCCCAGAATTGCGTGGAAAGAAATCCGTGGCCCAAGTGTACGCTGAATATCACAACTCTCACTGATTGGGCTGGTTCGGAATATCGCACAGACATCAGGAGGAGTGGAAGAAGCTCAGAGATGGATACGCGATGGTGGAACACGGCAAGAGAGCAGAAGGAAGGCACGAGTCCGGAAGAATCCGTACACTCGTTGCAGAAGCTCTACTCTCCCCTCTTGCGCTCCTGAGAAGTGCACAGAAGGTCTAGTCTATATCACGACAGGAAGTCGTATACGGGGCAGGCGAGCACAGGTGACCGATCGTCGCGGACGCCTGAGATCGAATTAGGACGGAAAACATCAAGGTGGGATCAGACTGCGAGGAGTCACCTCATGATCAGGACTGACCACGGCCCATCTCAGGACCCCTAATTCATATGTATCAGCGTTTCGCAGAGATCTAGTGAAGAGAGCTGGGAAATACAGTGACCAAAGTTGAGCAATTCCCCGCCATGATGAGATGAGCGGAGCCCAATCTATACCGAGATCGGGGGAAAGCCGCCGCTTCTGAGAACTCCGGGCAGGAATACGGGCTGCGACTGATTGGATGCTCCGAGTTCATACCTTACCGCACACAGGTCGACTGACTGGAAGCTTTGAACCAGAAGCATGGAAAAAGCGACTCCGGCCGGAATTCGAAAGCGCAATCCCCACGCACAGGCAGCCTTGGAAGAACGAGTTCGACGCGGGCTTCGAGAAGATGAACTCAATCTGCGCAAAACTATCCAGCGTACGACTATTTACTACCTGAGATATCCTACGGGTCAACCGGGATATGACGGCTCATTCAGCTGATTACTCCCGGAACCGCAGTTGTTGAATCGTTCGTAATTTTCCTGAGCGTTTCCGATGGTGAACCCTATCCAGCAACTCTGAGGGCTTCCAACTCCTCGATCTCTCACGCAAATCCCGCAATCCTAGCATATCCCGACGCGCCGTATCGCCGCCTAGTCTACTCAGGCTGAGCATGGCCGAACCTCTGGAATAATCAGGGGGGCTGTATGGCCTTCTTCAGCGTGAACTCCGTTTCACGAATTGAATGTTCGTAATCCATGATTGCATTCATTCATTCGCAGGGCATAAAGCTCTGGAACTTTGGCCTGTGCCAGTGACTTCGGCCCGTCGAATCCGTTCGGTTGTCCCTCGCTCCTCATATATGTGAAAGTATAATGGAAAATGGATCCGAATAAGTGCCGGGGGCGGTTATGGTCCGAGAGGGCCTAATGAGGCAGAGATGGAGTGATATCTGAGTGCTTTATCTGAATGGGGAAAATGAACAGTCGGGATCCATGAGTACGATCGCTTCTCACGGTATCCGCTCTCTCTCGATCCTCAAGACGCTCGGATCGAAGGAGTTTCCTCCCAAAAATGAGGGAGTCTCGGCTTGAGGAGGATATGCGGGACCCCATTCCTATACAGTATATCTTGGCTGCCGCACATTCTATAGAACATTCTGCCTCTGACTAAGTGATAGGCGTAGTATGATCGACGGGCGGGCAGCTCGAGACAATGGAGCGGCAGTTCGAAGCATTTATGTAGGTGCGCTCCCGAAGTCTGCACGAGTCGTTCTGCGAGCTTGTGAACTTGCTCCGTGCTCGATTAAGCGCAGACTGCTGATGTAACGGATTGCGTCAACTTCCTCCATAGAACATTTTCGGATTCCTGGAGCCGTCCAGTCACTACTCTTATCGCAGCCTAAACAATCGCATAGAGGCTTTCGCGGTAGCTGTCAGACACTGGAAACAAGCTCGCCCGATCCGAGATTCCGTCTCGGAATGTTTCTTTATTTCCGTGAAATGGCGAGTCCGACCCGAGAAGCCCCAGGTCCCAATACTCCGTCGCTTGAGAGCATTGAGAACAAAGGCTCAGCTTGGAATCCGCTCTTGAGACGAGCTCTTGGTGGGAGTGAAGCTTCTATCGCGTGCGATGCAGTGGGAGTCATCTGTTCGACATACATCGAGAAAGGGAGGAAGCAAGTGCCGTCGTTCGTTGGGGCTTTCGAGATGTGCGGTGGTTTTTGATGAACCCACTCACTTTTTTTGTACTCTACTCAAATTGGTTTATAAAGTTTGAACGCGGACGGCCGTCTCCCGTCGACCGGGCTAGTTATGGCCCACATTAAGGTGAAGGTTCTCTATGATTTCGATGCTCAGGCGCCCGGCGAAATCAGCATTCGTGAGGGTGATACGGTGACGGTTACGAGTCGAGATGTCGGAGAAGGATGGTGTGAAGGAATCAACGCCAAAGGTAAGGCAACATCGCTAAGCGTAGCTCACTCATCCATCCATCATTCATAGCTTTGAAGTTTCGCAATTGTCTAATCTAACAGCTGCTGGGCAAACGGTGAGGGCTGTCATTGAAACCTCAAAACAATGCTTCCTGCTCTCCGGAACAAGCACAATCATCCGGGAAGACCTCCCACTGGTTTTCTATCTACCTAGTCAGAAAAGCACGATTATCTTGTTCTTCATTCAAACGGTTCATAATGTCAAACGAATCACCAAACAGTCAGCTCAAATGCGCTGTTTTCCTGGAGGCCATTGGACAGTGTCGCTAGGGAAAACCTTTAAGCCCTCTGCTGGCTCATCTGGCTAAACCGTAGCATGTTGACGCGTAAAACCCTGATGGAATGATCCGGGCCCCGCACTGGATGTCGTTTAGGCTTTGATTTTGCTCAGAACCGCGGTCGATTTTTCCCGGCTGTAGAATTTTCGTTCAGTCGTGGTGCTAATTTCTCTTTGCACTTCATTCGTCCGGACCGCATCTTTGTTTCGAACGATTCCTTCGGTCGCGTAAATTAAATACGATCGGAGGCTAAGCAGCACCGGAGGCAGCAGGCGTTAATTTTCAGCACATTCTCCGAGACGGAGCCTGCGGTCGTTGGTAGCGGTCGCAAGGCTCAAGCCGCGATGGAGACACAATTTTAATTGACGTTAACAAGACACTCCACCTCGTATGACTATCTCCGTCTATTGCCAACCATCAGGGGAGAATGGGCTGTTCCCGGAGGCGTACGTGGACTTGGATTCGTCGCCAGATGTTTCCCCATCGACCGAAACGGGTCTCGGCTCGTCTGCGTCGGTTTCGCCGAGCGCGCCTTTGACTCTGGGAAGGCCATCCGATGATGACTGGGGCACTCCGGAGGGACTGCTCGAGATGGCGTCAAAAGCTCAGCCCACGGCACAGCAAGGTAGCTCGTCTGCTCTCCGTCATTCTCTGTCCCCTGTGAACGTAAACCTCGGCCTTTCTTTCTGAACTCCGACCTCTTTCTCTCTGAAATCTTGTTCTCGGCGGTTCCCTGATCAGGGACCTCACGACAACTACTCGATCACCGCACAGAGCGAAATGGACTGGATCAGCCTTTCGGAAACGCGGTCGGAGCTCGGATGTCCTGGTGTTCCGATAATCTCTCGCTGGCCAACGGAAATGCGCCGGGAAGCGACGAAGTTCTTTTCTAATTCGCATCGTTGGACATACTCTCGAGTCGATTACGAATGATTGCACATTCGGGAAAGCCAAATAGTCAGTAGTCGAGTCACGTTGAGCAGACATCGTTGCACGTGATGCGCTCCATGCTCCCCATACGCGAGCTCCAAGCCCTTTTTTCCGAAAGTCGTAGTCTGAAATACACTCTTTGCGATGTGCGGAAGAGAAGCTCGAGGATGGAAGAAGTTCGGATCGGTTGATCTGTCCTTGCCGTGGAATCATAGCGTGCCGGCTCCGGTCGACTTCAGGCTCGGATTCAAACTCTTTCGAGAAGACAAATATCGTTATCAGCAAAGTACTTTGCTCGATCGATCGCTCACACGCTCCGTTGATTATCATCATTGCTCTTATTCAGCGGAAATGTTTTTCTTCCCTGGTTCAACCGTTCCTACTGATGTGCCTGGGAGTTCCGGAATCAGAGCTCCCCTTATCCGTGACTCGGCTACGAGGATTTCATGATGAACGTTCGGAACGCTGCAATACAAGCTGTATCATATGTGGCGTTGTTGTAGATCCGGCATTCCTCGCCTGAGATCATAATCGACGATATCGTCGAGTTGATTCTGCAGAAAACCCTATAGCGGCCGGCAGACCGCAGTGTACAGACGTAAGCACACAATGAATACGGACGGTAATCTAAGCGACCCGAATGCGATAGATCGCCACTCGATGGCTCTATCGTGCTCTCACTGATATACGACGGGTCGCCTCCTAAGCATTAAGCTCGGGGAACTTCTCTGAACCGCTTCGGAGTGAGATGAGATAAACAAACACGCAGATTATATTGCTACCGGCTTTTGTCTTCTAGCGGATGTGTAGTCCTCCTCGTGGACTGAGAGACCGGGATAGTGGATGCTCCCTGCTCAATCGAGCATAGAAATGGAGCTCGGCGTGGCGCTTCGCGGCTGAGCGAACGGTGCGGTCGCACGTATGCGCCATCAAACAGACGAATGAGATGAAGTCACTCTCTGACTCGCAGCGATTGTGCAGGAATGCAAGCTTTAATGCAACCCTGCGGTATCAATCGTTATGCCTTGGAATAACCCCAAACCCCGATCATTCCATGAATGTCCATCGTGGAACAAGAACCGTCCGATGGATCGTCAATACTGCGGTGTAAAATCACGAGCTCCTCCTCCTTAACGTCTTACTGCTCCGACTTGTCGAGGATGACAGCTGCTGACTATCCATTTATTCTTGCTGATCTTGCATGAGATATCTGGCATGTGAAAGTGTTCGCTCGATTCCGTCCCTACCATGGCTGCTATTTCTCTGTCTTTTGTTTCGCTTCTTCATCATCCTCTCATCAATTGTCGTTTTAACGAAAAGTCCTCGTGAGCTCTGTGTTCACTTTTCTCCATCTCTCGGATCAAATCTCGATTAATGGCGATATTCCGCGCTACAGGGGAGGTCGGATTATTTCCTGAGAGTTATATCTCAACCCAGCCTCCTCATGGGGCTCCTTCGGTGGGCAACGGTTCCGACGCTACTTCGGACTGGGATGACTGGGACGACGACGATGACACGATATCCTCCAAAAATAATCAAGGACTCGGAGGTCCCGGAAATTTCGGGCTCATCATTCCACGAGACACCAGCGACGTCGCGAATAAGGGGGATGGAGGCGCCGTACGCACTGGAACCGTCAAAAGATTTAACAGGTATGTTTTCGCGGTCCCCAGGGTATGTAGGGACCCGTGTGGAGTGAAGCCAGGCTTCGGAATCGGAAACCGTGGCACAGGGAATCGGAGAACCCCAACGGAATTCGCTCGATCGAATCGTGCTCGTCAAGCGGGTCAAATCCGGAGACGTTGACGATTCGATTTGGGCTGGAAGTCGTCCTTATAGTCTAACGAAATTCTTCATGAATCGTCAGTTCCAATTCTGTGAACGGAGATGCCCCGAGAGGGACTAGGAGCCGATCTAACAGTCTCAGTGCAGCTCCGAAATCAGTCATGAGGTATTTTTCCGGGTTCATAATCCGAACGTTGTCGCGCATAAGCTGTACGAGTCCCTCCCTCTCAATTTAGAATCAAGCGTAGTTTTGTCTCGTCGGAAGGGACTCCTTGAGCCCGAAGAGTGTGTTCCCGACCCGCGGGTGTTCTCCCGGTGCCAGGGTTTTACGCTCGCTTGAAATCTCAATGTATTTAGACCAGGGCCTGTCCTTTCCAAATCGTATGAGAAGACGTGATGCTACATAACCGTCTCGGTTCTCCTAATGGTGTGAGTAAAGACGCTCGTTCCACAAGAGTCTGCCGGAACTGCCTCGCTTCGTCTTCGCTTAACGTGAACCATGAGCTGCGTAGAGAAATGACTCGGAATGATTGCTTTCTCTCAGGTTCTCGAATTTCGTGAAAAGTGGCGGAGAGGCGTTCCTGCTAGGGACTGCCAGAGTTGCGATCAACAGCGCGGATTATGTTACAATTGTCAATAATGGAGGAGTCATACAGTGGAGTCAGCCTTATCCGGAAGCAATGTACAAAGCAGAGATTTCCAGCCCGAAGAAGGAAAGCAAACTCAAAGGTGAGGCCTGTGGATACTGTCCGGGGATGACTACACCGATCTCAGACTCAGTTCATGATATGGACCTGGCAAATATAAATACCTGAATTCATGAACACAACATCACACACTCATATTATACTAGATAAGTCCAATGGATGCGTCAAAACTTATGTCGATGCCCTTCGGGTTGTCACCAACTCTGATTCGGCCGGTTCGCCTCCCAGATTTTATAAAGCAGCTCATCCTGACTCTCTCGATCCCGACAGGTCTGAAAAGCTTTATCGCCTACGCCGTGATCCCTTCATTCAACGGTCTACCTGTATATCGACGTTACAAGCATTTTGACTGGCTTCACGAACGACTCGTGGAGAAATACTCTTTGATACCCATACCACCTCTACCTGACAAGCAGGTCACCGGACGATACGAACATGAGTTCATTGGTGAGTTGGACGGTTATGACGAGAGCAAGTCGTTTTTTTCCAGAATCTTTCCGACTCAGCTCCGACGGTGCTTGGAGAAAACGGCGGGAGGACGGATCGGGCTTCCGTTGAGTAGGAGTGAGTGAATCACGCGAACGGATGACATTGACCTTTCCGAAACACGGTGGGTCCGACGCCTTCGGCGCCACCGCTCGGGGCTATTGATCTGTCCTTCTCAAGGACTCATCGGGGATGTTTGGACTCTTAGTTCAAACTCATGATTTGGATTCGTCTCGAGCGCAGTATCATTCCCCATGTAATAATTATCGCGCCGTAGAGTTTGACGCTTCGGAAAATTCGCTCGCTATATCGATGGGGTCTCCATGCAATCCGGAGCACCACAGTCGATACTGGTCCCTGCCAATACATTCGCTGCAAGAAATAGCCGCAGTCAGAACTGGGAAGGGCATCGTTCCCGCCTCCCGCTGGGAACATCGAGGGTCGATGTTCCGCACACAGCTGTTTCCTGTGGTATACGGATACTGTCCTCAGCTCAAAGGAATACTTTTCCTCGTTCTATGTGGAGGAAAATCCGATAGAGGTTGATCTGACGAGATTCGGATATCACCTCGGGAGTCTCGGCATGATCAGTCGCGGAGCCTGACTCTCCGCGACTATCGCTGTCTCCAGCGAGACTCGATCACGTAATTCGGAGGTCATTCCTGATCGAGCCTTTCCTCGTGGAGTACCGCCAAATTGATCGAATCACCTGGGCGGCCTGATTGCCCATTGTCTTTGAATTTCTCTGCGACCGTTAAGAAGTATCGCACCGATGTCCTGCTGATCGATTCGGGGTGCTGAATGGTTTTGTTGAATCATTCCAGAACACCGGATGCAACAACTCCAGCTGTGGGTCAACAGGATGTGCCGCCATCCCGTACTTTCACAGTCTGCTGTATGGCATCACTTCCTTACGTGTGGAGATGAGAAACAGTGGAAAGGAGGCAAACGAAACGCGGAAAAGGACGATCTCCAAGGTGCTAACTTTTTCAATGCCATCCAGGTGAGTTTTCAATAGCTGCCCTGATTCTGTTGAGAAGTATGCAACTTTGCGAGTCCCCCGTGAATTTCCATTGGCCCTACTGGTTTTCTCCCCCTGTGACTGAGGATACCATATCCTTTACTTTCCCTTTCGCCATCCTCCGAGTCACAACCGAAATGACCGGTCCCGATCTTCCAGGCTCCCGAGACACCGCTCGACGTTTCCTCGGTCGAACGACAGACGGAGGCTTTCATCAGATTTACGTCGAGAATGGACGATTCCGTACAGTCCTTATTCAGAACCGCTCAGGACCAGATGAAGAGGTGTCAAGGCCCATACAAGCGCGAGTGCGTGAAGATCGCCACCGCCCTGAAAGAAGTAGCCGACGCTTTCGACTTAGATCAAAACGAGCTCGATACACAACTCAACGCCTCCATACGCAACACTGGCGAGACATATAATAAGATAGGTCAATTGTATGATGAAAACCTCCGGCACAATTGGGAAAACATGGCGGACACACTTTACGAGTACCGAGGTGAGAATCGACGTTGATTGCATGACCAGAATTCCAGGGTAGCACGTAGTCGAGCTTCTCATCAGCTTCGAGCATCTCCTCTCGATCCCCCCGGCAACATGATCATGAGCCGTGTGTGAATTCTTGCAGGTATCCTCAGCTCATGGCCTGATATAATCAATATCCATCGAACCTTCTTGACGAAACGTCGGGAGTACCAACGGCAGCGAGACGAAGGCAAGGTGTCGGCCGAGGACTACGTTGATATCAATCGAAGGACCGACGTTGTTACCTACGCCACGTTAGCCGAGATCACCCATTTTCAGCAGGAACGGGTGAGCGCTCGCCTCTGAACATTCTAGAATCCCTGAACCCCAATCGCGATCAAAACGCGCCGTTTCCCTACAGGAACGAACTTTGACTTCCCTCTCGGGTCCCTCCAGCTCTACTGTCGGTTCGCTAAGCCCGTGCCTTATTTACAGGTACGCGATTACCGCGAGATGATGCACACGTTCTTGCAAGGGCAGATCAATTTCTACGAACAGGTCGTGGAGGAGCTCCGCACAGCTCAAAGCAGATATCGATAGAAAGGTCGCCAGTTCCATTCCAAACCTAAAAGACTCGTACAAACCAGCTCGCCTCTCTAGAGCATCTAGAGCCGAAGAACTCGATGGACAGATCCACGAAACTGACGGCATCATAGGTTGCGATGCATAATTTACCGGGAATTTACGTTTTATTCAGACGACGCATGTGAATTTAGAACATGCCTGCCCATTTTCATCACACAGGACATTTCTATCTTTCCCATGAGGAGGAAGTCTCTCTTGATAGTTGACGAGAAAGCAACAGTCTGTATTTCACTTTGACGCTGAAATGAAGAGCATGTTCGTTAAACGGAGTTTTCCTTGCCCTAAATATAGATACTACTCCAATAATTATACTGAAGCTCAAAGGCAGTGTCTCGAGGTGGGGCGAGAGACAATTTTCTTTTCATCAGAAGCCTATGAAGGGTGGGGCACGGTGGGGCGCGATTTAACATTGAGCTGGGGCCTGGCGCAAAATCCTTGAGAAACACTGCTCTACCTAGACGGTCCCGGAGGAGTCCTGGAGAACTCCAGATGGACACTGTCATGAGTCGTACCGTGTAGAGCTTCTGGGAGGACGGATCGGGTGGTTTTCCTGAGCGAAGATGGGACGCCTCAACTGGAGACCCGATTTTCAGAATTGATCCTCCATTCCCATTCAGCGGGTGCAGCCGTGATATCTCCGTCTGGGTTCAGAATCTGTGTGTGCCCTCACCTGCTCTCCCGGGAATTTTCCGTGAAGTCTCTTGTCTGACCGGCCGTGGGAACAAAACTCTGCAAGCCCAGACGTACATCATCCAGACGAGCCTGGCTAGTTCGGTGTTCGATTTCATGGTTAAGATCGGGTATCAAAGTCCTCCGAGGTGGCGTCTTGATGCGCGGAGCGACAGACGACGAGAGAATGGGAGAAACCGGGACGGACTTGAAGGGCTTTTGAGTTTTCCTTCGTCTCGATTCGATGTTCGATTGGGACATGCTCGTCGTTCCAGGGTTCTAGGGCTCGTCTTGCCTGCAATAATGATTTTGTTCGCGGACACCGAAATCCTCGCGAGGGTAGCCGATGCCCGATTCCCCTTGATTGACGAGGACCGGTCGAATTCACGGCAGCCGTGATTCCCGTTGGCCGATCTTGTACCCCCTCACGACGTCTGCGACATCCCCCAAGGTGCGACAGAACCACCCTCAATCAAGCAATGGAAGAAAGCAGCCTTCAGCATCGTATGGGTCGTCGGTACAGATGCGGAGAACGGAGTTGTCTGTCGGCCCTTAGTCGATCTACCTCTCCCCCAGCCAGCTTTCTTCCGAGCAGCAAACGGAAGAATGCGGGACAGCGAGCAGCTCGAACGCGAAGCCCAGAGAGCGCCGTGCCGACGCTGTCGACTTCACGTTGCCCCCGAAGGTCTGACGCATTGGAGAGCAGAGACAGAGACGATCAGAGTCGACTGCGCGGGGAAAACTAAATCTTTCAGAGTTTTAGACCAGTCAAGAACGAACTCGAATCTCAAGTTCCGGCGTTGCTCCGTGCTCCGTGCCCGCTCGATGGGAACCGATGAAGGCCTCCGAGATTCCCTCACTTCTGGGCTTTCATCTGGAAACCTCGATTTCATTCAAGGGCGGAGACAAAACTATTTTTCCATTGGACGCAGCATATATGTACATGTAATATCTGAACGTAAGCCGGGCGCATGGCCCGCCCTACACACAATCGACTCTCGAGCATTCATCGTGGAATCCAATCCCCATCCGTTGCCATGAGCATTCGATGAGTGTTATTGGGAATAGCGATCCATGCTTTTGATTCATACTGTCTCGAGAAGAGTGGATTCGCGACGTAGACCCGGAGACTTCTTCTCTTGTCCTGATCTTGAGCGAAATTCAACGGACCGCAGTCGAGTGCTTCCCCCGCTTCTCATCTTTCTGTTGTAGAACGAGGCGGCCCCTTCGTTGAGTCTAATTCTGAGTCACGTTCTTCCGCTTCCCCGCATCCATTTCCCTCCTCCCTCAAACACAGGACTGCCGGTGTCGTCCCAGAGATCTCTTTTATTCAGATAGCTCGAGACTCATTCATTTCTCGCCTTCATATCGTGCGAAAATTCTAGAAAGCGACATTGAAAGTCTCAGATCGCATCGGGTTTCTCTTTCTCTAGAAAAAATCCGGAGGAGAGCGGGTTATCCGGGACAGCAGGTTACTCGAACGAATGATGATGCGCCAGTCCACAGGTCCGGAGCCACCCGAACTTCCGCCTGGAGTTCACCTCTACGAGAGATGGAGCTTGGCATGGTTGTTCTACTAGATACACCCATCCTATACTAAGCAGGCAATGCATCCAAGCACAAGCTAGGGTTTCGGAGATTCCTCATTCAGTCCAATCTTCGACGATTTTTCAACGCGCTCGGGAATTCTCGAGGGATCAATTGATGAGTTTTGGACAATTTCCCGCGACATGATAGTGTGAGAATGACATAGTGCTCAGTGTGCTCGGAGCCGAGGGCGGAGTAACCAATAGATTCACGGATTATTATCTGCCTCCCGTAAGCGAGTGTGGAAATGCTGAAGGACACTTGGGGATGCCTGAAAGGCTACGCTGAGGAAGGGAGCTTCGATCGGAGGCAGCTTGGAGCAGCCGCGAGATGGGATCTTCCACCAATCAATTCCGCCCAAAAGCTGTATAACAAGGCATGGTACGATTGTGGACCGAACTCAAGAAACAAATGTTGAGTCTCTGTAGCTGAGGAGCTCCTTGGTCGCTTTGCACTCGCATTGAAGAAGACCTATGAAGGAAAGTCGCTCCGATTCCATCGGAAGGAGTGCCTGCGAAACAGCGACTTCAGCCGTGGTTCCTCCTTTTGGAGGTTGTACAAGGTGTGTTTATGTACTCGGGCTTCCTTGGTAAGACCGTCGAAAGCGCTCGAGTGGAATTAATGTTGCGATGCTGGTCATCGATCCCTGTCTTCTGAAAAATCGACATAGGGGTATTGATGGCTTCGCGAGAAACAATATCTTCGGCGTCGCCCTCAGGTGATAAGTTCTCGGCGTGGGTCTCTCCTTGTGCAGTATCCATACGAACATGTACGTCCGGAGCCAAGATCTGTACACGATCACGAATCACGACCCTTAAAAACTGATCACCGATTATCACTCGACCAGGGTCTAGCGAAATTTTTATAAGAGCGAATCCACAGACTTTGCTCTCGTCTTGAACTTATTCCAGCTGAATTTGAACGGTACCTGCGAGGTAGCCGATCACGATCAGACCTCCCCCCGCAGTCTGGAGTGGAGCCCTTGAATCAATCGTGAGTTATACTGGGACCGATCGAGGCAATGAGACCCCGCCATCGTTTGCTGCGGATGTTGGAACGTGACGAGCGGGCGATAATTCGCTCAGGAAGGTCTGATTCCGTTCTCTGACCACGCGAGACACCGAGTTTCCACTCTTTTCCAGGATGCGTTGTCTTACCGTCCGCTTAGACCGCTGTAAGTAGGTAAGATCGCGGCGGATGAGATTATCCACTCATCCGTTCAGGATTGTTCCCAGATAAGCTTCGGTATCAGGAATCTTTTCCGCAGTCTTGTGTGCTCGAAGTCCACACGCTTTATGATCGATTGCCCAATGCCGAGGATCTATCTCGAGATAGCCTAACAGGTCAGAAGTTTCGTGACAAAGTCTACGATCAGAATTCCCCGGACTTCTACGACTCGAGTAGAGCGCGGAAACACAAGTAAATCATTCTGCTACTCGGAAACATGTTCTCACTGAGAAACAAGCTCGAATATTTGTCGCGACCCTAGGAAGAAAGGTTTACTGCCTCTGCCTCTCCCAAGATTTCACCTTCTTGGGTGAAAGAGCATGCCCGTGTACGCCCGGCTACTGTCTCACCCGCCTTGGATTCTCTGTATACTCGTAGTCGGTCAAGTTAGTCCAAAGACATTCTGCAGTGAGTACTTTCGTTCTTGATTCTCACTTTGCCGTGGTGCATCCCTCCCGCACGCGAGCTTCCACAACCCGTACGACTCGAGTCCTCGATGATGGGGCAATTCCGACTTGAAGTACGAGCCCCTGTGCCTTCTAGCGGATCGCTCTATAAACTTTCGTTGAATCCGTCGCAGATTGTGCGAACACCACGGAGGCGGAAGACCCTATCGGCACATTCAGGACCAGACAAGAAATGGCTTCCATTTGCGAGAATTCTACGATGTCAGAGGGAATCGAGGCGCTACACACGGTGAGTTGTGATGGCGATGTCAATAGATGTTATTACAGACCTATTATCTTGCGATGCAATGTCAGGCATTGATTCGAACGCTCGCCGTCTCTGTTTTCTTCCATCGAAACTCACAAAAATCCTGCTGCTAGTGGGGAGGAAATATCTTTTCCATCAGCTCAGAAGACAACAAGGTCGGCGTTTGCAAGAAAATAAACCTCCAAGTCGCGCCCGACTTCATCATCTACACGACCCTGCTGCAGACCGGCAACAAGATTCAGTAAGTGACAACATCACGGCTGAGAGCGACCGTGTTTCGCAGAGCTGTTTTTCTAGTTCGCCTAGAGTTATGAATGAGCCGTCTTAAACCAGTTCGGGCTCCGAGTGAGGAAAGACCAGAGAAGTTTTCTCTCACTGCTAAAAATTGAATCATGCCAAGATGTTCCGACTCCTAAATGCAGCGCACTATACAACTTGACGGACACTGGCTTCTATGAGCGAACCAGGGCTCCCAACGGCAGAAGCGGTGATGGGGCCAGGACCCACGTATTTGAAGCCGTCGATCTCGACGCTGGGAATGTGACGATTGACAGCTTGCTCTTCGAGATGGACTGCCGACCCGATGGTGAGTATACGAGCGAAAAGTCTTTGTATATGGACCCATATTTCTTCCTCATGCTCCTATTCAGCAGAATTGCATGAAGCTTATTATTCCTCCCGAGATATTGGTATGTCAGTTTTGGGCAAAGTTGGATGCCGACGAGGCCGTCCCTCATGGGCGGCACGGACTCCTTGACTGCTGCCCCGTTCTCCTCGGATGTGTTCTCAGATCCTGCAATCGCAGTGTCTTCGCAGAAAATATCCTGAGGCGAAGCCCGACTAATCCTGTGGCTCATCCGGGTGACGAAGAGACAAACGAATTCCCGGGGCAGCAATCAATGATTAGAGGGAGCTTTTCCCGAATCGCCGAAAAATTGGAAGACCTATACCCGTCTTCCACGACTCCGAGCTCCTATCGCTTTTCATAGCACGACTCCTACCCTCATCAATCTCATCCTTTCCAGGCAAGCAAGATTTCTTCATCCTTGTGCGAGACGGAAATCGAAAAG